TTGATGAATTATATAGACAAGATTAGAGTGTCATAAGGATGGAAGCACTAATCCCGAGAACACAAGCCGTCATAACAAGTTTTACCTCTTGTTGAAGATCGAAACCGATGCAGCTCAACCCGAAAGCAAGAACTCGTCGAAATAAAACTAAAGCAAAAAGGTGGCGATGCGCCGAGATTGTATTGAACGTGTGTGTTAAAAATTACACAGGGCTCGGGGTCTATTTATCCCCAAGAATTACAAGAGTCCATACCGGACACGACCACTATCTCTAACAAACTCTAAGATACCATAAGTCTTTGCGGCAGACTTTTGTCTAAACATATCTCTAAGGAAGTTACATAAAACATCCTAATTAATAGATGCAATTGCCTTCTCAGGACTCTATCCATGTGCGGCAATCATCTTGAAGCACCTCAATTCAACCCAATGTCATACACCAAATTATACTGTTAGAATCGGCTGCATCGGCTCACCTAGTCCGACTCAGACCCAGCCGATCCTAATCGTAGCCAATCTGTACTTCAGCCGATTCTTGCTCTGTTCTCGGATCAATCTCCGCCTTTGACTCCACCTTGATCTAATCTCCTTTTCCGATGCTGATATTACCAAATTTGGTCGTTAACAGTTTAATACTTCAAATTTGGCCAAAGAACTAAACACGGCCATTATAGCACTGTTAGAGAAAAAAAAATTCTTTTGTGGGAATTAATTAAGCTTGATAAATTCGTCTCGCGGTTTACAGGCGGAATCTGTAATTTGTTTTGTTATTAATCTACGCTTAATACTTTAAATGTGTATCCATATACTTCAGAAAATTTTGACCAAAGAACTAAACACGGCCATTATAGCACTGTCAGGGGGAAAAATTATTTGTGGTAGTGCCGCACAACGCTTATCGTGCAAAACTGCTCGAACTGACGACGCGTGTCCCGTCTCCTGCTACAGTCCGAGCCGTTTCTAGGAGACGGAATATGCGTTGTCAGTTTGAGCAATGTTGGTTGAGAAGTGTTGTGCGACACTGCCGCAGAGTATTTTTTTTTCCCACTGTCAGGGGATGATTTTTCGAAGAGAAAAAAAAAGAGTAAATTTCACATTAGGCCACAAATTTTGACCAAGATTTTATAATAGGCTAGGGTTAAATCAATGTTTTCACTTAACACCATACATCTTTACATAAGTTTTCAGTTTGGACTAGGGGTGAGCAAAGCATGGGAATGTGAGAAAACTTCATATGATTTACACATGGATAATTATAAAAGGCAAAACATTTTATGTTTTCTTCCTTCTTTTTAGTGTGAGTGGTAATTAACTATTTTTTATTTTATTTTTATTCATTTGCCCCTATGTATAGATCATTTTGTGCCACTTTTAAACATATTGGCATCATTATTTTAGTGTGACGTGCTGAAAAAAGTTGTTTTGTGATTTGCTATTTCTTTCTAAAGTTATTTATCTTAATACCATGGAACTAAAATGATTATTTGAACTAGCTTTTCTCTGACAACTTCTATTAATGTGCTCAACCCTAGTCCAAAGTGCCAACTAGTGCAAAGATATGTGGTGTTAAGTGAAAATATTGGTTTGGCCCTTACCCATTGCGAAACTTTGGTCAAAATATATGGTGCAATGTGAAATTTACTAAAAAAAAAAACGTCAATAGAGGAGATATATATATATATATATATATATATATATATATATATATATATATATATATATATATATATATATATATATATGTATGTATGCAGCAGTTGCATATGAATCTGCAGGTGACTTTTCTTGACCGGGGAAAGCTGAGTCTCCGTTCGGAAGTGGACACCGGAGAATAATCTCATGGTCAATTGGTAAAAGGAAGGCATATACATATACATGGAAGTCCCTTTTCGTCTAGTGATCACAACACGGTTAGAAAATGGCGAATGGTCATTCTCCTTCTCCTTTTGGATCAGAATTTCTAATATTCGAAAACACGCAAGGAGCATATATACAATGACATGATTATTTAATCACGAACGATTCAAACGTGACTAGTTCATGACCTTTTCTTTTTCTTGATTTGATGTCATCAGGGCGGCGACGCAGCGTACGTACGTGAGTGGAGCGCATGCAGTAAGCAAATGATGGTTACCTGTGGGTTTAATTTATCCTCTCTTTCCATGACTTGATTCCACTGATAGCGAGTACTCCCTCTGTCCCTAAAAACCTTATCTTCAATTTTGTCCCAAAAAAATCAACTTATACCACTCTATCTACTGTTAACACATAAAACAAGAAGTTTTATCCCTTAAATATCATTTACCTATCTATCACTATTACTATTTTTCCAATAATTAGGGGTATTTTGGTTATTTTTACTCTCCACTAGTTTCTTCTTAGGCCATCATCAATGCGGTGCTTCAGCCCGTGTCCCTACAGACGGCCGTCCGCTTTTCCGTCGGCGTCGTCCCCCTGCGATGGAACGCGTCCCTCTACTGGGGGACACGGCTCTCTCCGCGCCTTGCCAAATTTTCACGGGGAGACGCAGCCTGGCGCCGTGTTGTGCGCGTGTGGAGCTCGTGAGCATGGCATCGTCCCCCCCAAATTTCCTCTTTCACCCTCACCTCACTCTCGCTCTCTCCTCAGTCTCATCGCGCCGCACCCGACACCGCCGGCGCCACTCCCACCACCGCCGGGACCGCCACCGTCGACGCATTGCTGATGGCCTTAGAGAGAAAGAGAAGAGAGAGGCGACGGCGACGACCGGATCCGGCCACCGCACGCCGCGGCAGCCGTTGGCCACCAGCCAGCGACGAGCGGAAACGGCTTGAGGCTCCCGTGCTCGCCGCCTCGCACGCCTTGCCCGGCCTCCTCCGCCGGCGCTTTGCCCGCCACCGCCGGCGCCGCGGGGGGGCCCAGATCCACCCACTACGCGCTAGATCTGGCGCCCCCGACCAGCCACGGCGCGAGGCGGAGGATGCCGGGGAGGATGACGACAGGAGAGAGGGAGAGAGAGGGGCGGTGGTGGACGCCGGCAACGGGAGAGGCGGCCCTCCTCGTCGTCCTCGCCACCGCTCCCTGGGTTCGACGAGGCCACCACGGCCGAGGACCGCGCCATCACTGAGCACGCCTTGCGTCTCCGGCGAGCGGCAGCGCGCTGGATTTGGTGCGGCACTGCGTGGAATCGGATGGGGGGCGTAGGATTTGGCGATGGCGAGCGGCGAGAGGGAGAGAGGGAGAGAGAGGCGAGCGGCGGAGGGGAGGAGACGAGCATGCGTGGAGACGGAGGGGAGGAGACGCGCCGGTAAATGAGAAGAGAGAGAGGGGGGAGAAGAGAGAGGTAGTATAATAAAATACCTACCTGAGCTTTTTGGGCTAGGGGCACTCGTTAGGCTATTAGGGGTATCCTCCATTGTGAGGGGGTTCTCAGAGGGTACCCTCAGTTAGTGAGGGTACTATTTAGAGTGTCCCTGATTGTAGATGTCCTTAAAATTATAGGAATTGATATTTTGTGGGACTGAGAGAGTATACAATAGCGCAATAATATGAAATGCACTTTTCGTGGACTGGAATACTTGATCCAGCCTTCAGACAACGTTCTAAAAAAAGGCCTTCAGACAAGAAGATCGCTTTGGTTTGACTGGAGGATCTGCTATAATCCAGTCAGGTTTACACTTGTCCATAAATAGTGTACTCTTCAACCCAAAAAGCATTTCCTAATATTCCAAAATCGATCTCAAACGGAAGCTGACAAGTGACAATATGTGTACATATCTCAGAACCAGACCATGCTGCAAATTGTTGCGGAGCGATCAGAAAGCCTTGTGCTCGCTAACTCACAGATCACATACCTTTACCGGTATGAACTAGTAGTAGCGTTGTAGCAGATCACGCCATGCAGGATGCAGCACACGTATATATTCAGAGCTCAAGAGTTCAGAGAGTCGATAACCATGTGTCAATAGGGTTATGGGCCAAAATGAAAACCCATCCTACTACTTTTCTCAAGAAGAAAAGAGAACCCAATTCCGAATCCCAAAATCAGTCGCAGGTCACAACCAATGCTACCTCCACGCGGAGCAACGCGTGAGTGGACCACGTAACGTTGTCACGTCCACGCGCCTCCGAAGTCCGAACGTTTCAGCACAAGAAACACCAAATGATAGGCTCATTGGGCCGCGAAGCAAACACCGATCGAGACGCTCAGCTAAGATGAACGAGCCAGACCAATCAGGCAGTGGACATTTCTAGGTACAGCTAGAAGAAGTGTACGAAATATATTTAGGCGATGCAGTAGTACGTAGTTATCATGTACCTGCACCCCCGGCGTTTCTCTGCTTGTTTTTGTGCAAGTGGACCGGTGGTTCTCTGTATATGGAGTACATGTTGACGATCCGACAGGTTGACCCATCCCCAAGCCTACGACGGCATTGCACACGAATGCCAACCCCCGGGATTGACCCGGACGTCCGAACGACCGGACAAACCAACCCGTCCTACGGCTGCGCCCATCGGCGCCGCTCATGTCGTCAAACCACACGTTTCGCCACACAATATCGCAAGCGCAGGATTTTTTTTATTTTCTAATTTTAAAAATATAGCATGACCAAATAACGTTACCACGCTAGCCACCGGCGTGACATTGTTTTTGCTACGCCAGTCCGATTGACGTGGCCGATCTTGGAAATAAGTTTTAAAATAGTTTATTTTAAAATTTTAAAAGTTCAAAAAATAGGTAAAATTGCAAGCATAACGTGGCCATGCCGAGATTAGCTAGACCGACGTGATAGTGTAGTTTTGCCACGCCAATCCAGTTGGCATGACCACAATGTTCAAAAAAAGTTCAAAAAAAAAAAACAAGCGCAGCGCAGCCACGCCGAGATTAGCCCGTGGCCGCCAGTGTGCGGCTGGGCCAGTTTGCTCGTAAAATGGGCCGCAGCCCATTTTCCAGGCCCTCGCAGCGAACGGCCCAGCGGGAAGCCTGGGGATTCCGGCTCGCGCGTGTCCTCTCCTCCGCCTCGCCTCTCTCTCTCTCTCTCTCTCTCTCTCTCTCCACGGCGGCGGCGGCGGCGGCGGCGGTGGGCAACGGCGTCCTTCCAAACGCGGGAAGCCATGGGCTGGCCACGGGCATGGTTGCTCGCTCGCGGCTTCCGTGGGTTTCGTAGCCGACGGCCATTGGAGGTAACTGTGAGGTGAGGATTTTCCCCCGGCCTCCACTATCATAGCATCGTTCGTTTGCGCGTAATCTAAGTCTGGGGGTAGCGAAGATGCTTTGATTCTGTGGCCGCGAGACGAGACACACGGGGGAATCTAGGATGGGGGAGGGAATGGAAGTCGGCATTTCGTACGATTTGGCCGCTGAAAACGAGATCACCGGGCCAATGATACGACCCTACGTGCCAACCTGCTGTCTACACAAAATTGGACCAATTGTTCCCTGCAAGAAGAAGGAAACATCAGAGCCCCGAGATCAGCTAGATCTTATTCTAGTTAATCTATCTATACTTCGTCGCCTCCTCCTCTCACAGTGGCTTTATCGCATCTTATGATTCTTATCCAGGCAATCAGGCATCATTCTTTAGCTCCTATGCCACAGATCAATTATCAGGTACCTTTTCCAGTTTCCTGCTGGGTTCCCTACTTTTCATCAAGTGCACATCTATGTTGGGAATCCAATCTTTGATGTGCTATATTAGTATATGGTGTGGATCCTGTTCTTATGATGTCACCGTCACATAATTACATGCTTACTTGCAGAGGTAAATACATGATTAATCAGAAAAATATCAGAAGTTTTTCTTTGGGAGTGCTAGGAGTTTGGTTCATTTGATCATAAATTTTCTTAGCTTGTTTCATCTTTCATATTATTTTTCTCAATGCACCACATATCATGACAGGCTGATATTGTTAGTCAACGTGATCAGGAAATCCAATACCCTTGGCTGGTAAGTTTGAGTTATAAATATTCAAATAAATATTTGAGTCCTTTTGTTTTCAAGTACCAAATCCATAGAATAGATTATTGCCAAGAGAGCACCCTGGTACTTGACTGTAGAGATTTGTATCCCATGTAATACAAGAATCTTGGCCACTTGCATGGTGGGGGTTCTTCCCCATCGTCCACACCTTAGGATGTTGACGATTTGAATTATCACGTGGGAGATTCGCATATGTGCAGGTGACTTTTGTTTTTGCTGATGCGACTGATGTAAAGGAGCCAGTAAGTATTTTGTAATCCACACTTTCAGGCATAACCTATTTCTAAACTCTCATCATCATAACTGGATGACCTGTTCCTCTCTCTTATTAAAAACTTGCAGTTTGTGGCCTAGTCAACTATTTGATGTTGGCCAAAATGTAGACGTGGCAGGACTTTCATTTTAATTGGAAGTCCTGAGGACTAAGATGAAAGAACAAAAATCTGAAGTAAATGCTAAGAATTTACAATGTTAAAAAAAAAACTGAACTACCAAATCGCATTTTGGCAGGAACAAACCATTTAGAAATGTTCAGCGAATTCATTTTGTATAGCTTTTGAAGTTCTCTTGAACAATTAGTCCTTTGAGAAAAGAAAGTTATGGAATGATGCCATTGGAATGTTCACCAAGAAAGAGAAATAAAACATGATTTTCTACATGGAATGGACCATTGTTATAATAAGTGGTAATTTCACCATCCTACAGGGTTACCAGAAAAGAAATTCCTTAGACTGTTTGGATCATGCTTGGATCAGATCTGTCATTTTCTTTTTATAGAAAATCTGGAGGTTCATAGTACCCTGAACTATCTACCAATCACTGTGCTACGGAAATCAAACATGTAAGTATGTATCCTCTCGCATAACATGCAGTTATCCCATGAATCTAGTTATGGCACTTCATTGTACACTAGATCCTATTTACATATTTTTTACTAGAATAAACCTATATTGCTCCCACCAGCAAGGTTAGTGACATTTTGGGATGACTGCAATTACATTGAAAAAAAAGGTTTATGTAAGTTTTTCTTGAAAAATGTGTTCATGATATATTTATATTCCGTAAACATGTTACAGTAGAAATTAATGGCCAAACCCAAACTTACATGTCAATTTCCAAAATGTCAATTATCTGTGACTGGACATCAAAGTGACTTAATGTTTGAATGAAATAGCTATTTTCAATATAGTTTCTGTCTATGAACATTTTGACTGAATATCTCCAGTATGTCGTCATTATGCGCAAAGGGGTTGAATTCTAGGTGTTGATATGGATTGTTTTTATCTGTTTTGTTTGACTACATATCACAGTTGAATAATATATCTGGTTTGCATGTCATTCTTTTCTAGCACCATGACAGATTAGTTTAGTTGAAATATGAAGGGGTAGATAAGTACTTCTATCCTTTCTGGCGCAATAAAAGCTTATTTTCCTCAATTAGAGGAAGTCCAAATAGGCATATATTTAATGTGTGTCCGTTCCTACTCATTTTATTGGCATTTCCTTTAAATAGGTTCAGTGAAGCTGCAGAGTGAAGGTTATAGTGAAGACTGGCCTGCTATATGTGCATTGCACAAGACAATCTGCAGTCTTTTTGTCCTCTTGATTTGAATATAAAGGTTCTAATTCTACTAAAAATGAATATAATACAAGCATTCAATAAACTGTTTAGGACTTGCACATGTCTCATCATTTAGATTGTGATAAAATAAAAAAAAATATTTGAACATTTCTGTTTGAGAGGGGAGGATGTTAATACAAATTTCTAGTCTTCTGTTTTTACCTGGAAGGCTTCATAGCCACAGCTTCTATTCCAAAAACTATTTGCTTGTCGTAATCACTGAATTGATACACATTTCATGGTTTCTACAGCCATTCAGTTGACTTGAATCAGTACCAGAAATCACCTTTACTTGAAACATTCTACAAGTTGTTAGTGCCAATACCTTCACATAGTGATAACATATTACCTAGCATATGTTAACCATCAAATGCACCCTTAACACATTGTCCCAAACAGGGATCAAAGGATAAATGATCTCTCTAAATAGTTCTTTTTTTCTTCATATGTGTGTTAGGGTTGGGGTGTGGCAGAGGGGGTATTAGAAGGCCAAACCTCTGTGGTACACGTCTATAGATTCCAAATAAATGATACAGTACCTCTTTGGTACTCCCATCAACATGGTTCACACCACACCACTACACCAGTGACACCACCACCACCATTACAGGGTATTTTTCTTGGCCCCTCTGTATAAATAGCAGCACCATGTTCACTCTTTGTTCCATTGAAATACAAGCAACCATAAACAGTAGCCATTTCTAGGACCTTGGCCTTTCTTGAAGGAGGATGAGTTCATCCTGGACAACAAAGCAGAATAAGGTGTTTGAGAGGGCGCTGGCAATATATGACAGGGATACGCCAGATCGCTGGCAGAATGTGGCACGGGCAGTTGGTGGTGGAAAGTCAGTTGATGATGTGAAGAGGCACTATGAAAAGCTGATCAAGGACGTGGATCGCATTGACTCTACAGGAGGCCATCAAGGATCCCATTACAACAGCTCCAATGCTAGCAGCAGCAGCAGCAGCAGCAGCAGCAACTCTCGGGGCAGTGCCAATGAGGACCAGAGGTAATTTGGTGGCTCATCACTCTCTTCATGATCGTTCCATATATGCACCATCATTACCCTGTACATCCTCTTCTTATGAAGTTATTTACACAGGCCATGACTCATGAGTATATGTTTACTTGAGCTAGAGGCTTTTGTTCATTTTATTGTTTCTAGCTTACTATATTCTGCTGTCCACCTTGATTATCTTTTCCCTTCTAATCTGCAACATGTTTTTATTGCTTGTTCTGCTTTGTTCCGTTAGCTAGCATTTCTAGTTATTTTGCTTGTGTATGTGGACACAACCTTTGGTTATCCTTACCATGTGATTTCCACAAAGTAAGGCTAACAATTGTTCTTAGGATTTAGCTGGAGGCGACTTGTTTCTCAAGTCGTGCCATTAGTTTGTTAATTAGACATTCTTATGAAAACTTGAAATTTTACTAGCTCTTCAAAGTGCCTTTTTTTTTGGCCTTATCTAAACTACAATTGCCGTATCTCTTTATTACAATTACTGGTAACAAGTTGTGCTATTTTCTTCCTGTTTTTTGCTCTATGTTTGTTGGGACTTTATTTCAATGAGAAAAGACATTATTTCCTTTTGCCATCCCTTGTCTAATTGTCAATTACATGCTTTGTTTGGCAACATGCAAATTTAACTAGATGGAAATATTCTGTACGGGAAACTGCAGGCAATATGCAAATTCAACATCATCTGCCCATCTGATCTAATTTGGTTTCGATTCTAAATTCTTTAATCTGGGGAAAGATATGGAGATAATCTAGTAGTCCTAGCTAGTTCCTAGCTATTAAACATAACTCGGCCATTCAATTATTTGTTGAAGAGATGAGTGTGCACTCTGCTGGAAGGATAAGTAGGCCAGGACTCATAACTACATATTGTAAGGCCCTAGTCTCGTGGCCCAGAAAATCGTTTATGCAAGTGAACAATTGGCATTCTTTCTATCAGTATGTCTGCACTGCTTCACACTTGCTTTTTAATTTGATTACTCTAGTTGTGTGCGTCTGTGAGAAAATAGACAGGCAAAGGCGCCAAGAATTGTATCCATCTTTTTGGAACCTGCCTTTGGATTCCTCTCCAGAAAGAGAAAGGCCCCATGAGAATGGAACCTAGCACAGCATTAAGCAACCATATGCATCTTTTACCGAAGAGTTGCAGGAAAAGCAACATAGAACCCCACCATCTTAAAGTTTTTCGCCTTTATGACGGGTATAAAGCGCTTTTAAATAGTGGGGCTTTTCTTGTCTTGCATGGAAGTGGTAACATTTTATCTTCATCTTTCCGTTGGAGAAGATGAATAAATGGGTTTATTATTGCTTTTTTAATTTCTTTTCTTGTTGCAGGAGGAGGTACCACAACTTTCAGTGAATGTGACATTGACATCTCGAAAGCCGAAAGCAGCCTGAGTTCCAGCAAGACCGACACATATGATCGACTGTCCCTGCAGATGCTACCTTCACTATTTCGTTTATGTTTTCTATTATGCGCGTGTGTGAATCAGAACTGGCCCTAATAGACCAGTAGTTAGTAACTTAGTTTCAATTGAGCTATGACTGGTTTGCTGAATTATACTGTTGTATTCCATCTGACGATGCTGTATATGTAATATCTGATGGAAAGTTTATAATCTTCTCTGAGATCTAAAGTTCACATGTTCTTACTATATATCTATCTTCATGTTGTCTTACTTTGCGAACTCCCATTGTGTCATTGTGATTGTGTACCAACTTGTCAACTATTCCCTCCGTTTCAGGTTATAAGACATTTTGACTTTGGTCAAAGTTAAACTGTTTCAAGTTTAACTAAGTTTATAGAAAAATATAGTAATATTTATAATACTAAATTAGTTTTATCAAATCAATAATTGAATATATTTTCATAATAAATTTGTCTTGGGTTGAAAATGTTACTACTTTTTTCTACAAACTTAGTTAAATTAAAGCAGTTTGACTTTGACTAAAGTTAAAAACGTCTTGTAACCTGAAACGGAGGGATTATTAATCTATTATGTTGTTGAGTCGTAAAGATGATGCTGCGGGGTTGCACGATACCGCGACAGTGCGACAGGATTTGGACGCTAACGAAAGTTCAGGGCTTTTGGATGCAATGTACCGAATCCATGTCTAAGTACTCATCAATAGTCATAAGATAAGGAAAAAATAGCCATCTTGGATAGGCGAGGGCCATGATCCAGCTCTGTCGGCAGCGTGGTCCCTAAGCAAAGCTAGAGCAGCAGTCTACTTGTGATCGTGGAAGATATGATAAGATCGATCAGTCCTGAGTAATACTAGCATCCATGGACAAAAAAACAACTCGATGATCACAGGCGTCAGATGCACCATGCAAGTGTACGTAGCAACTAGCAAGCAATGAGTTGTATGCTTGTATAACAAGAACACTCTAAGCAAGTATAACAACTGGGTGTAGGGTAAGTTAGTTACACCATGTAACAAGAGGACGCAAGGCAAGCTAAGCTTGTATAATTGCACGACGGTTGCCATGTCATTGTCGATTCAGGTTAAAATGTACAATGGAAATCGACACCAGGTTGGTCGGCTAAGACCCGCTTAAGGAATCTGCATTGTGATTTCGTAGACCATATATCCACATGCACAGTCTTTGGCGGGTATTATTAGGTCTCCGCAACCTAGATGTAGCCTGTAGGCTGTAGTACCGCTATACCTCGTTTTTATTTTTTATTTTTTAAGATAATAATGGAATAGAAATCCATTCTAGCCTTTGCTCAAATGAGTTACAACTAATTATTACACGAAATCACTCAAAACGAGTGCAACTTAAAGAGAACTTAAAAAAACTCTTCCAAACATAAAGCGAACACAAACTCATAAATGCCAACACAAGATAAAGAGCGCACAATTATTGAATTTTATTTGTGAATCTCCATCCGAAGTTGACAAAAGGATGCATAACTGTCGTCTCAAGATTACGACATGCAGACTTCAAAAGCTTATAGTCTTCATCATACTTTTATAGTTGTGCTCAGGACCAAAGCTAATATGTTGTCCTGAAAAGAATCTGCATATAGGACATAGATGGTGATTTCTCAAAAATAATATCATTCCTACTCAACCCTATAGCTCAACATATAGTAGATGCTCCTATAAAAATAAGTTTACTGGTTTTTTTATCAACCCCCACAAGCCAATTTTCAAATATATGAGATATAAACCAAATGAAACCTGAACAGCTCTCCAAAGAAATTTTGCAAAATGACACTCTATGAAAAGATGTTGAATAGTCTCATTTTTCATAAAAAATAATATCTCAAACTACCATTCCAATTTCTCTTGGCTAAGGGCCTGTTCACTTTGATGCTAAAAAAAATCTTACCAAATTTTAGTAAAGTTGCCAAAAAAGTGGCTACATTTAGTTTGCTGCCAAATTTTGGTAACTATATAAGAAATCCTGCCAAAATTTTGACAACTATATCAAAATTTGGTAAGGTTTTTTTTTGCATTAAAGTAAATAGGCCCTGAGTTGTTCTTTGTCAACAGTACCCCTAAGCAGGTATCACATAAAAAATGAAAAATCGTTTTTCTTGCATACGTTTTTCTAAGAGTTTTTTTTTTTTTTGCATAGTTGATTGTTCAGCATGTACAGTCCTTGAACTCTAGGGGCGGAGGATTTGATCCCACCATTGTGAATAATTGTAGCTTAAGTAAATTTGAGATAAGTTATTTTTAGGGGAAAATTGAGATAAGTTAGCACGGTCACCTATCCACCCCCCTGAATCTCAGTTTTTTTTTCAGACTAGTCACATGTCATGTACTGCAAGTTGCAACGGGGATGAGAAACAAGATGGTCCGCACAGAATGTGGTTCAATTTTTTTTCCTCCTGGATAGGGGAAACACGGTTTAATTTTTTCTCTCCCGTCTTTTTCCCTTTTCTTCAAACTATTTGTTTTTCTCCCCAAATATGAGGAACATGATTTAATTTTTTTATCCGTCTTTTTCTTTTTTCCCAGCTCCTCTCATATTTTTCTCTCTATATATTTTTAGTGGTTTTTTATGGGTTGGGAACAGGAGGACGACTAGGAGAGGATGGGTCAACTAGCTCAGTTTTTCTCTCGCGGTTTTCACATTGGTTAGTGAACCTATTAGTTTTTGCGCGCGCTGTTTTCTTTTTGAGGTTAAAAAGAGAGCTTTATTAGTGACTATATAAGAGGTTACATTCCTGGTTTAAGTCTAGATTATTGCGGAAGCACATAGTCTCCACTTCCCACATGACCTATACTCATTGCCAATTGGGCTAACACATGAGCCACTCTATTTGTTTCTCTTTATCTAGATCGTTGAACTCTCAAAATGTATTTTTGTACTTGAACTTATCTTGGTGTCATACAGGTTATAATCGAAAGATCTATGCCCTAAAGTTGCCTTGTAAGGGGAGATTGGAAGATCTATAATCTTAAGTGTGCGATCATTATTTTGGTGATTTTTGGAACATACTATTTCCGTGATGAGTTTGATGAGATTATGTTGAGTTTCGGTATCAAATTAAAAGATTGAAATTAGAAGATGGACATTATAGTTTGATGAGGAGCAAGTAAAGACATTGACAATACAGGGTATGGCATGAAGTGACTATCTATGGCAAGCACGACTCGGCTAAAATGGACCTCATGGAGGTGAAGAGCAAGCAAGAGTTTTGGTGCCGATGGACTGAATCCGGTGGTGAAGGGCGAGTGAATGCTTTGTCGTGATAGACCATGCGAGGTCATTTGAAATTATGAGTAATCAGCATCCATTATAATAAGAGCGTAATATGAAATGCCGAATATCAAGAGGATGTGATTCGTTGATGAACATCAAGCCAAGAGCCAAAGTGGACATTTATCAAGGCAAATGTTAACTTTCCCTTGGGAATGGAAGAATTCATGGGAATTTTGCAAAAGGCGAAATTTACATAAAATTTCCCTGTGGAATGGAGCAATTCCATAGGAATTCCGCGAAGAGATAAGCTAATTCCTATGAAATTTACAAAAAAAATCCCGTGTTATTAACTAATAATAACTGAGGCGCCAAAGTATCTCGTGTTAATTCCCTTTGAAATGGAGGAATTCACGCAGTTTGGGCCTCGTTTTGGGCCGATCCAAGCGAAAAATCTACGGTGGAGGCCCAGCCCGGATTCTATTGCTCTCGTTTGGATTGGAACGCAAGAAAGAAAGAAGAGCTTCCCGAAAGAAAAGGCGAAAATCACATCTCCCCTTCTCCAATCTCCTCCTCCTCTCCCTCTCTCTTTTTTAGTTCGCCGCCGAACTCTCCAAAACCCCCACGAAAACCCTCGCTTCCCACCGACTCCATGTGGCGCCTCCGGTCGCGGACGGCGGCGGCGGCGGCCGTCATTGCCGCGTCCGCGGCGTCGCTCGCCGACGTCGCCTACGCGGACAGCGGCTACTCCTTCTTCCGCCGCAGCTCCCCCCCGCCTCCACCTCCCGCCGCCGCCGCCGCCGCCGCTGCTTCGGAGGACTCTGGCACGGAGGTGGCCGTCGAGGTGGATTCCAGCGGGTTCGACCCCGAGAGCCTGGAGCGGGCGGCCAGGTTGCTGCGGAAGCTCAACTCGTCGAAATACGCGAAGCAGGCAAGGTGTTTGTTGTTTTGACCTAATGCGGGGTTTGCCCCCACCTACTGACGCTTTCTGCCTCTCGTGTGGTTGGTTTGGCCTGCAGCTGTTTGAGCTGATGCGCATGCAGGAGAAGACCCGGCTTGCGGAGCTGGAGGCCGAGAAGGTTCAGTACATCATCCAACAACACCTCAGGGACATTGTGAGTGCCTTTTGCCCCTTCCTAGATGCAAATAATTCAATGTGGTATGCCAAACATGGCCAAAATGTCAGAAGATTGATTTCTCTGCAGTTCCAGTGATTGACTAACAGAAAAGTAGCAGTCAATTTCATCTAACTTGTTCTTGCTTTGAGTGCTGATGAGTCGTCAGCACCACGTTATCACCGTTAGTCTATTTGGTGAATCATACCTTTACTAGTGAGGCCATAAATATCTTGGGGCTTGAAGCTAGGATGAAAGATCAATTGTGGTTGTAGTTTGCTGTGGCATGATATTTGTTGGTTATGTCGCCCTTATTTTTCTCTTTTTTCAATAATCACTAGAAGATGACTTGTGCGTTGCAACGGGAAAAAAGTAAAAAAAATATTAAATATTAGATGATTAGGGTCTAATTTTCCTGATAACATGTTCTTCGCATAAAGTTTGTTGTCCAGCATCTCCAACTTTAAAAATTGGTCTAGTGACAATACAGGGTGAGATAAAACATTACTCATGAGGGAGTACTAAAGATACATATGAAAGGAGGCTGTGCTAAAGTGTGATTTTTTTTATTTAAGAGGGCATGTATAGCGTAATTAAAGATGCAAATGAAGAAAAACAAAGAACCTGACTCCTAGGCATAGAGTTGCTTATATGCATGGTTGCACACCCTGTTATGATCATCTCTGAACGCTGTTAGTCAGTTTTATATGTAGCCATGTCCTCATGTAGTAATGTTCTGCCGCAATAATAGTAATAATAATAATAATCCCCAGATAAGAATTGAGTTTATGACTACTCCCATAGACCCCCAAAAAAAAAGGAAAAGGGAAAAGAAAGTATCGCTATGTCGATGAAATTAGCATTAAATTAAATTATGTTTGTGTGATGTAAAAAGAGAAAAAGAAAAGAAAAGGTCTTTAGATCAATAAGATATTAGTATTGAATGAAAAAAGCATGCTCTTTGACAGAGCTAGAAAAGCCAATTAATTGCCTGTATATGTGGAGTTGCTTCTATTCTGATTGACACTGTATTTTTCCCTTCCATTATACGACGCCGCCAGATCCACGCGGCCGCTGCTCGCCTCCTCGCATCCCTCGCATGACTTCAGGCCTGCACCTTTTTTTTTTCTTTTATATTTTTCATTCACCAAGGCGCTCAAAGGGTCTAGACACCGAATACCCCATATATTGACTATTGCGTTTGTGTCTTTTCCCTCCTTAATCAATGGTCGTTTTTCACCAAACCATGTACCAACACGTTGAGGTTTATTTGCTGACGTGGCACATCCCAATTGCAGATTGGGTTTTATCTTTCACTCAGAGAGATAGGCTATGTGCACCCTAGTTATGCAGAGGCTTGGAGTGATCTTAGAGTGGCTATATCAATATTGATGTAATTATCTAAGATCACTAAAGCTTCCTTTATAAAAAGAAATAGAAACTGAAACAGTAAACATGCAAAACATTCAATTCTGCCTTGGCCCTTTTGAATGGCAAAGACATCCTATGAGATATCATGGCATAAAATGGAAAGCTTTAGATTGTTAGCAATCTACTCATGTTTATCCTCTGATGCTCGATATCTGGTCCACAGGAGAGGCAACAGAAAGAAGGTGAAAAATTCAGAGAGAGTTTGCAGCAGCAAGCTCAAGCAGAGGCACAAAAGTTACGTTATGACGATGAATTAGCTAGGAAAAGAATGCAGGTATTGACTCCCCCCTCTGTTTACCTTCTTTAATGGCAAATGGTGCTTTAACAGCACAGCATCATTTAATCAAGTTTTTTTTTTCCAGACGGAGCGTGAAGCACAAAGGCGACAGGATGCAGAACTTGTGAAGATGCAAGAGGCAGCTGCCCTTAGGAAAGAAGAAGTTAGGCGTACCACAGAAAAGAAGATTTTAGAAAAAATGCTAGAGGATGAGAAAGAAAAGGCTCTCTTAAAGAAACAAAATATCCAAGCTAACGCTGAAGCAAAAGGTGAAGCCCTTACTCGTGAAGCAAAGGCTTTAGAAGACTACAACAGAAAGATGCTCCTGGAACGTATAAATGGCGACAAAGAGAAGTGGATTGCTGCAATAAATACTACTTTTTCACACATTGAAGGTGTTTATTTTCCTGCTAGTGACAATCCTTACGAATTTAATCTTGAATTCCTTTTGGTTCTGCTACTATTGCTGGTTACTCATAGTAAATGTGTATGCCTTTTTTGATCAGTCATTATTGAAGTTCTTAGGTTTGTAATCTCCTTTTCCCTGTATTCTAGGAATTTTCTCAATTCGACAATATCATTGGCATTCTCACATAGATATTTCTCTCTGTTTTTAGTGGTTATGGTGTCCAGTAATTGTGTGGAAATGTCATCACGTGAAATCGCACCACCATATATTCATTGTTCATTTTATTATTATTTAAGTGAAACTATGGTCTCATGTCAAAATTAATAATATGTACTGTGTGACACATCTGTTCTTCATTTTCATGTAATTGTCATGGGAATGTTGATAACCGATACTTTATTTTTCATTCAAACTTATTTTCTAATGTGAACTTGTAGGTGGGTTTAGGATGCTGTTGACTGACAGGAGTAAATTATTGATGGGTGTTGGAGGAGTTACTGCGCTCGCTGCTGGAATTTATACTACCAGGTTTATCTGGATTTCATGCTGAATTTACTTTTGAAGTATGCATACACACAAAACCACTTCACGGCTTGACTTCATCTTTCCCTTGTCAGCAAAAATTGTTTGAGACATGTCATGTTCTTATTTACTCTTTTGTACTTTAGGGAAGGAGCAAAAGTTACATGGGGTTACATTAATAGAATCTTGGGTCAACCTTCACTGATCCGTGAATCATCTATGCCAAAGTTTCCACTTTCAAGGTTTAAGGCTCTCAAATCTACTTCAGCATCTCTGTCAGGAGGTGCAGGCTTTGAGAATGTTATTCTTCATCCTTCACTGAAACGGAGGATTGAACATCTTGCACGAGCTACAGCAAATACAAAGTCGCACGATGCACCATTTCGCAACATGCTGTTCTATGGTCCCCCTGGAACTGGGAAAACATTAGTTGCTAGGGAGATGGCACGCAAATCTGTAAGTTTTCAATAGATCTAATTGGCTAATCTATTCTGCTCCATTCTTCGAGAAATATCAGGCTTATGGATCTTCTATAAAGAACCTTGTTTTCTGGATTTTTTTTAATACAAAAATATGTATCCGTCAACTTCAGTTATACAACAATTGTATAATCTTACCATTGCATCCTTTATGTGACAGGGCTTGGATTATGCCATGATGACGGGAGGAGATGTTGCACCCTTAGGATCAGAAGCTGTTACCAAAATACATCAAATTTTTGACTGGGCTAAGAAGTCAAGGAAGGGCATGCTGCTTTTCATTGATGAGGCTGATGCGTTCTTGTGCGAGTATGTTCACAACTTAATATTTAAGCATTTGTCTGACCACTGATTTTTTTTTTCACAGATAGTGATATGCATGTTAATGAGCTAATCCTGAGGATATTCCCAATTCTTAAGCTTGACTTGAACTAATTTTGAGCCTGACAGTACATCCAATCTCTTTGCAGCCACTGAATTCAAACAAAGTAAAGCAAACTTCGTTAGAACCCAAAACAACAAATCTTTATCATAAATTTATTTTACCATATGACCAAATTTCACATCTCTCCTTTAATCTCATGCTTTTCCTTGCACTTTACTAGGCGCAACAGCACCCACATGAGCGAAGCTCAGCGGAGTGCTCTCAATGCACTACTATTTCGAACTGGAGACCAGTCGAGGGATATTGTCCTTGTCCTTGCAACAAACCGACCTAGTGATCTTGATGCTGCTATTACGGACCGCATTGATGAAGTTATTGAGTTCCCTTTACCTGGGGAGGAGGAGAGGTTCCAGCTGCTCAGGTTATACTTAAACCACTATATGCTCAAGGAAGATGGAAAAAACTCGTTTTGGGACTCACTGCTGAAAAAGCAACGGCAGAAGATACAAGTTAAGGACATAAGTGATGATTTGCTCAGGGAGGCTGCCAGGAAGATCAATGGATTCTCTGGCAGAGAGATTGCGAAGCTTATGGCCAGTGTGCAAGCTGCTGTTTATGGCCGCCCTGACTGTGTGTTGGATCCCCAGTTGCTTATGGAGGTAGTTGAATACAAAGTGGCTGAGCATCATCAGCGCATCAAGCTTGCTTCTGAGACTTCAACTTGAGCAATGTTATAGATTTTATCAGAAAGCAGCAGTCCTTTTCAGATCTACTGTCCCCATATATATGTTCTGATATGAGGAATGGAGTGAGATATAGTCAGTTTCCTCCAGCTGACTTCGATAGAAGTTGAAATTTAGAACACACCGGATACTGATGTTCTTCTTTGCGGGGGGTATGACCTAGGCTTGTCCGGTTCCAATTTTGTTCCATCTCTTTGCCTGTAGCATATTTATGGTGGTTTTTATGGAAATACAGGCAAATAGGTAAGACTGAGATGCGCATGCTGAAAATCTTATTTGACTGAAGTGGTTCAACCATTCATCTTATTTGTTAGAATTTGATTTTGTCTTCATTATCATAGATGATGAAAAGTTGAACTTACCGATAGACCTGCATGTCGTCTGTGTAGGATTTATCTAATTATTTGCACTTATGTCTTGCCCCTAACACAAGTCTTTTAACCTGGATCGATCTTATTTTTCTGGTTTCTTCGAGCTTTCACGGGGAACTCGGAACGGTGCACACATCAAAGTTTTTTTAAAAAAAAACAAACCCGAACTTTCGTTACTCATTAGCTGAGATATCCTCAGCAACCAAGTCTGTAATACAAGATGACATAGAAACAGGCGAGTCTATGGGCTACCCTATTTCCTTCTCTTGGCTTAACCTGGAAAGACAAAATTTGAAGAAAACAGATGCTTCAGTTCCCATATCACAGTGTTGCAGTCGGAGAGATCATAATCAGCTGTTAAAATAGTTTTCTTGGCTTAAACAAAATTTGAAGAAAACAGATGCTTCAGTTCCCATATCACAGTGTTGCAGTCGAAGAGATCATAATCAGCTGTTAAAATAGCTTGCTTGACCATTGTTGCATCAGACTCCAAAATTAGCTTTCCAATGCCCAAAGATGCAGCTGCTCTGACTCTATGCACACAAGCTAAAAGTTCAGCCTGGAAGGAGCTAAGCAGATGATTAATTCTCCCTCTAGCAGCTTGTACAACATCCCCATCAGAATCCCGAATGACATAACCCCATCCTCATCCTCCAAGTTAAACAACGGTGTATTTACCCAAGCAAGATTCAACTGGAAATTACAGAAACCTGACCAACATAACGCTCTCACGGCATTATACTCCACTTCATATATCAAGAAAATGTTTGCTTTATTTCACTCGTGACCAGATGTAACTGTAAAGGGAGCCAAAACTGAGAAGAGCAGTAAAGAAAACAACAGTGCCATCACAGTATGGTTCAGTGGTCCCAGTATCAATGATAGTTCGTATAAATGATGTAGTTTCCGATCGAATAAATAAGCTTGGTCTCACGTCTTTTAGGAGTATACTATCGTTCTGAGATCTCTCATTTGGAACCATCAAAGCTGAACTATAGCTAAGTACACGCGGTGTCTGCAGGTTTCGAGGGTCATATTTATTAGTTTCATCAGGTTGTTATATTGGCAATCCTATTGAGTGCTGACATGTTAGTTAAGGTAAAACATTCACAGGCTCCCATACTACATCAAATTTTTAAAGTTTTTACCACCCTTTTCTAGAGTCTAAATTGAATGCATAAAATCCTAGCTTAATATGCCACTATATTATATGCATATTCTATTAAAGATGCGTCTATAATTATGCAAAAAAAATGTAGCTAGTCAAACTTTTATTTTTAGATATTTAATTAAGACACCTGAAACATGACATTTAAGATACTCCCCAGTCAGGAGGGCTATGAAGACAGAAACATCAATATATATCATGTTGGTGACATGAAAACAAACGGTGCGATGAAATGTCATTACCAAGAACACATCTTTCTCCTTACCGCATCAAATGCAAAGTTGAATGGCTCCAATCCAAGCCTTGTATTTGCCGACAAGTACATATCATCATTCACTCTGCATAGGCTACATCCAACACACACACACACTCAAAACACAGGGCTTTCTTCCCCTTTGAGTTTCTGACACAACAGTCCACTCTCACATGCACTTGCCTTCTGGCCAAAGTCCAACACCACCAGAGAAAGAGAGAGAGAGAGAGAGAGAGAGAGAGAGAGGAAGGAAGAAAGAGAGAGAGAAAGAAAAAAAAAACAGCTTTGGCAGAAGGCTAGAAGCAGCTCAAACAAAATTGCCCCCCAAAAAAGGCTGCAAAAGCCCTTAAGAAAGGGGGTTTAGCAGCAAGGGCAGTGGAGGTGTCCCCACCCTGCCAGGACAGAAGAAAAGCCCAGCACAGAAGCTTAGAAGCCATAAACAAACACTCCCTTTAATGACCCCCCTAATTGTACTTTTGCACACCAAATGACAAACCCCCATGCCTAAGTACCTCCAAAGGGACCCCCTCCACTCTCCCTCTCCCTCTCGCTCACCAAACCAAAGTACCAAACCCCAATGCATGCAGCAACAATGCACAAGCACAATACACACCCTCTGCCAAAAGGAATCCTACAAACCCGAAAGGCAAAGTCAAAAGCATGTGGTGCCCAAGGCCAAGATAGGCAGCAGAGAGCATTGCATTGCAAATGCCACTGCGAATTCTGCTACTACTCCAACACAATACTACATACAAGCACAGCCGCGCATGCACTACTGCTGCACTACCACTAGCACTAGCAAGAGAGAGAAGAAAGAAGCCCTAAAATGCACTTAGCATTTGGCTCTATCATGCTAAACCTAATCATGTTTATCCAAGGGAAGCAAAGCAATGCGTGCATGCATGTCCTAAGATCAGATTTAATTACCTCTCATGGCAACAATGCATCTACTCTCCTAAGTAACTGATGCTGCTGCATGAGTTAAACTTAACAACAGGGAGGGTTACTGCAGTCTTGGAAGAATTACACAGGAGAAGAAAAGCTAAAGGAGAGCTAATTAATAGCTAATGCTAATGCATCATCCTCTCTGCATTGTTCTACTCGCTCACTCTCTCATGCATCATGCTGCTGCTGCTGCTGCTGATGGTGTTGTGGTGGGTGGTGGTGGTGATGGTGGTGGTGGTGGTGGTGAGGAGGGGGAGGAGGAGAAGGATCGTGGTGGAGCGGCGGCGGCGGCGGCTGCGATGTCGGCGACGGGGGCGTCTTGGCGAGGTGTTTGTTGTTGTGCATCCACACCTTGAGGACGCGGCGGGAGACGCCGACCTGGGCGCAGAACGCGTCGACGGCGGCGGCGTCGGGCTTGTGGATGCGCCACCCGACGCGGTGCGCGAATTCACGCATCCGCTCCTTCTGCTCCGCCGTGAACTTGGTCCGGAAGCGCTTCTTGCTCGGCCCCGGCGGCGCGGAGGCCGACGCCGCCACCACGGCGGCCGCGTGCGCGTGGGGGTGGGAAGAGGGGAGCGGCGGCGGGCGCAGCTCCTCGCTTGACGACTCGGCCAGCGCGGCGGGCGCAGACGCCGGGGACACGGGGAGGACGGGCGGGCGCTTCTGCATGTGCGGCGGGGCGAGGAGGAGCGGCATGAGCCGGGAGGAGTTGGCGCCGGTGGGCGTCGCGGAGGGGGATAGGGACACCAGGCCGGCGGCGGCGGAGGCGGAGGCGGAGGCGGGGCAGAGCGAGAGCGAGGCCGGCGCGACGACCGCCGGCTCGCGGCGGTGGAAGCTACGGTGGCAGCCGCACGCGGCGCAGGCCAGCGCCGCGGCGCCGTCGCCAGGGGACGACATGAACTCGCCGCAGCCGTCGAGCACGTGCGCGCCCATCCGCGCCGCGTGGTTCTTGAGGCACTCCCTGTACCTCCACGTCGGCGCCTCGCCCGCCGCCCCCTCGCCGCCTCTCGGACCACCACCACCACCACCCACGAGGGCAAGCGTAGACGCCGCGTGAGCACCGGCGACGCCGCCAAGAACGCCATTTCTCGCCGGCTCATGATGGCGCTGGAGATGGTGCTGGCTCTCCCCACCAGGCGCCTCCACCCTTCTTCCCTGCCCATGGTGGTGAGCCGCATGCAGGTAGGATCCACCGGGCGCCGCCGCCGCCGCCGCCGACGGCGACACGAGCGACAGGTTGGGAGGCAGGAGGGGCCTCGAGAAAGCGGCGGAGTCCATCAACGACGACGGCGAGGAAGCCGACGAGCCAAGAACCTGCGGGTGCAGCTGCTGCTGCGCCGCCGCCGTCGTGTACTGATGGTGACCTTGCTCCTCCTCGTCTTCCTCCTCGTCGTCCTCCTCTTCTTCCTCCTCTTCCTCCTCCTCCACATGCGATGATCTCTTGTACTCCATGGCGTCTCTAGCTCTCTAGGGTAAGAGAGCTAGCTTAGCTAGTAGCCTAATATTAGGATGATTCCTCCTTCCTTTGCTAGTTTGGAGGAAGGGTTTGAGTTGGTGATGGTGTTGAGCTCTTATAACTTACAAGTTGTAGGTTTGTGTTGGTAGTGGAATAGAAAGAGGAGTAGGGGGTGAAGGGTTTGGTGTTGGCCTCAAGGAGTCAAGAAGAGGAGGAAGCAAATGAAAAGAGGGGATTATATTGTTTCTTGGTTAGCTAGATAACAAAAGCATGGATTGTGGTGGTGGTAGTAGTAGTATGCATGGCTTGGTTAGTGATACTGCTACTACTAATAACAATATGGCTAACAACAACAATAGTATTAATTATTATGGCATAAAGTGGGGAATGTTTCCTTGAGAGAGAGCTACCTAGCTATCTTATCTATCTATCCATCCATGCATCCTGAGGAAAGAGAGAAGGCCAGGCCAAGCCAAGCAAGAGAAGAACAGAAGAGGAGATGGTGAGAGTGAGAGACCAACAGAGGAGAGAGGTGACAGGAGAGAGAAAGCAGCACGGCTAGATTGGCTTTGGCTTGGCTTGGCTTGGTGTGTGTTGAAGCAGTCTAAACTACTCCAGAGAATGGTGAGGATGATTTGGGGTGGGGGAGAGGTGGAAGAAGAAGCCCATGCCCACCGACAGGGCCATGTTTCACCCCCTCACACACCTGCACTATGGCCTACTTGCCACCATCTCCTCCACCACCACCATCTCCTCCTCCTCCTCAACCTCCACCTCCCTCCATTGGCATTCTCACTGTCACTGGCTTGTTGCCGTGGTTTGGTTCCCTTAATTGCACCACGCCAGCGAGTTTACTCTGCAGTGACCTACTCCCACACAGCAATAAGTGCGGCAGTATATGTTACTACTGCCATTGACTCCAAGTACATCAGTGTCTCCTCCCCACTCTCGTACAAGGCCTCACATCTCTGCTGCATTTAACCACCCCTCGTGTCATATGAACTGCTAACTCCGAATGTACACCAAAACTGTGATGACTAGGATCGATTGCTCAGGTACACTGTGTGGTGTTGTAAGTGGCCACGGTTCTTTTCTTTTTTAGCAACGTAATTTTAATAATTATCCGTTCTATCCGAAAATCAATCAACTTCTAGAGTTTAAACTATGTCCCAAAATAAACCAGCTCATATCTTTTGTCACCATCGATTCACGAATCGAGAAATTTTATCCATTCGATACCCCTTATCTACTCATTCACCTATATAACTTTCATGCTAATTAGGGGTATTTTGGTCTATTGCCTTTTTCCTTGACTTCACCTTAGGAAGCTAGGATTTTAAGGGCCCCTTTGAATCGCAGGAATGGAAAAACGGAGGAATAGGAAAAACGCAGGATTCTGACAAGAATGCAGGTGTAAAACAGAGGATTGGAAAATACATGAAAAACACAGGAATGACCGTTTGATTGGACCACAGGAAAAACGCAGGAATCGGATGAGAGAGATAGACTCAAAGGAACTTTTCCAAGAGGTTGGACCTCTTGCTAACTTTCCTCTAAAATCTCTATAGGATTATCCATTCCATAGGAATTTTAAAGGATAGTATAGGATTCAATCCTTTGTTTCAAAGGGTTTCATAGGAAATTTTTCCATATGATTGAGGGCCCCTTTGAATCGTAGGGTTGAAAAAACGGAGGAATAGGAAAAACACAGGATTTTGGTAGGAATGCAAGTGTAAAAACAGAGGATTGCAAAACACAGGAAAAATATAGGAATGACCGTTTGATTAGACCACAGGAAAAATGCAGGAATTAGATGAGAGAGATAGACTCTGGGAAAGTTTTCCAAGAGGTTAGAGTGGATGTTAAATTTCCTACGTTTTTGCTCTAGAATTGTAGGAATAGAAAAGTTTCCTACATTTTTCCTTTTCTCATTCCTACGAATCAAAGGCATGAATAGTGTAGGATTTCAATTCCTTTGTTTTTCCTCCATTTTCCCTCCAATTCAAAGGGGGCCTGAAATCCTTCAAATTTCCTATACTTTTCCTACAAATCAAAGGAGCCCTAAGTTTTTTTAGGGTGTGTGGAGTATGTGCTTAATGGTAGAGGACTAGAATCTATAATTTGTTTTCGTTAGAGTAATGAAATGCTTGATCGGTTCTTAAACTTGAACGAGGTGTCATCTAAATCCTTAAACTTATAGAATGTGCATTTGAATCTCACCAAAGGACTAAAGTACAGACGACGTAGCTCAGGCATTGACATGGCCATTCATGATTTTGAGATTTTTTTTTATTTAGTCCTCTCTATTACAGTGTGCCCTCAAATCGATTCTCACCACTCCTAAATCGACACCTACTAGGCTCGTCGAAGAGGATCCAAAAAGATGGCAATATGAGTGGTTGTGATAGTCGGTTAGTGAAGGTTCTCAAGTAGATAGATGGTGCCATAAGGATAGGTGATCACATGACTCCAACGTGACCATATCATCGCCCTGATCCTCCGACAATTTGAGTCCCGCCATCTACCTTTCATAGCAACAACAGTGTTGCACCGGGTTTGAGGGATCACTTTTTTCTTATCCGCCATCTATCATGGCTCTAGGAAAGCTGTTGTTCTAATCACGATCTCTTCTACGGGTGTCATGGGAATTGGTTATCGCATGTTCTCACTGCCAAGATAGATGATATCATAGGAAGAGGGTGATCCCGTAATTCTGGTTTGGTGTTATTACGTGATCCTCCAACAATATAAGATCCATCGTCCGTCTTCATTCCGACAATCATGTTACACCGGGCTCATGGGATCGCCCTCTCTCATCACACCATTTATTTTGACTCTAGGAAAGACTAGAAGCGGAATTTTCTCTTTTTCGTGTTCTATTTGTATGAAAGACGAGGGGTTTTCTAGATAAACCACGACGAGGTGTCAGTCGGTTTGAGGCCGTATGCGTTATTCCGTGCAAACACGAGGAGCTTTTTGCAAAAATAGCCAACCACGCTTAACCTCTCTGAGGAGCCAAAAAAATTCAAAAAACAAAGAAAATCACAACGGGTAGGGGTGTTAATAGCTAGTGATGTCATCCTAATCAATGTCTCTTTGCCTCCTCTCCCATGGGCGGGGTGGGAGTTGATTTGGGGGGCATACTTTAGCAAAGAACCCTAAATGCAATGTTCAAGCTATATCTTAAAATAAATCAACTTCTACCTTATCTACCCTCGTTTTGCAAATCGAAAAAAATTATTCATTCAATACATGTTACCTACTTACCTATGAATACTAGTTTATTATTAATGACAGGTATTTTGGTCTGCATTAGGATGTTGGGAGCTGTTTTTTTTAGACAAAGGGAGTAAGAGATAGTAATAGGTAATACAAGAATATTCACAATGTAGGCAGCATGAAGAGATATAGGATGTAATCCTCGTTTTCAATTCTCTTCGAGCTATACTCCGAAAGGTACCGTACGACACAGTTCGGGAAGTATAGGTATGCCATTTCCTTATCATCTAATAGGGTGAAATAATATGATTTTCCATTAGTATTACTGGAAAACTGTTACATATCATATTATTGAGAAGAACGCATAGATTATTTTTAAAATTTTGTTTTGGGAAGAGAAGTACTCCATATATACTACACCCTCGGTCCCAAAACATAATAACTTAAGACTCGTGGTACTCCTTCTGTCCCTTAATATAAGGAATTTTGACATTTTGCTTTTATTGTTTGACCTCAAAAAATTTATGCAAATATAAAAAATAAAAAGTTGTGATTAAAGTACTTTGAATAATAAAGCAAGTCACAAATAAAATAAAAAATAATTCCAACATTTTTTAAATAAGACGAATGATCAAACAGTACCAGCAAAATATCAAAATCTCTTATATTAGGGGATAGAGGGAGTACAATATATTTGAACAGGAAGTATGTCCAGATAATTACATTGTACTAAGAAACATACCATTCAATCCTAAATTTTTATATTTTGGGACGCGTCGGTACTGAAGAAAATAAATAAAGAACTAGTACTACTAATCCATTTTCGTTCGGCATGTAATTTTCGCAATTAAAACAGCTGCATCCGACGTGATGGGCACTACTAGCTCTTCTTCACCTAATAAAAACCTAAAGCCTTGTTTAGTTTCAAACTTTTTCTTCAAACTTCTAACTTTTTCATCACAACAAAACTTTTCTACACACATAAACTTTCAAGTTTTCTATCGTATCGTTTCAATTTCAACCAAACTTTTAATTAACACACGTAAACCTCGCTCGCTGAGCCAGTTTTGAGTTTGAGCCCCGTCCATTCCATGGCAGGAAGACGTTGGCTAGGTCCAGTCATCTAGTCCTCCATCCAGTCCAGCTAAACGTTGGTCTCACAGTGATCGAGTCTTTGGCATGATGCACCAACACATAGGGGTAAAACGGTCACCTGACGCTGGACAGCTTTGGGAATTGAGAACGATGGGACCCTTTTCACAAACACCATCGTCAGGCCACTCTAATTGGTGTGCCATGGTCTGCCACTACCATTGATGCCCTCCTCTCTCCATCCTCACTCACCTCTTCTTCACTTCACCCTGCAGCGGCAATGGCGAAAGGGAAACGCAGTGCAAAAATACTCAATGCAACTGTGCAGTGCAGAGAGTTCTTGTGCCAATGCAATGCACATCAACTGGAACAGCACGCTGCAGCAGAGAAGCCTTTTTCTTTTCTTTTTTTCTGTTTCAGAGATGGCATAGTAGGAGAGAGAGGTGGGGGAAGCGAAGTCTTTACTGCTAAACTGGCGTCACACGTTGGCACACGTACGCGTTGTGCACACCAGCTGTCTTGCAACGCCCCGGGTGGCTGCCAAAAGACGCTGCGCTGGTGTGCGCGCGTGTAGCCGTGTACTGACATGGTGACATGCTAGCTCTACCCTCCACTCCTCCAGCATTTGCTAGGGGATGCAAATGCAATGTCACACACGTACGGTGGATTCATTCAGCGTGCAAAACCAAAAACGGCTGCGAGGTGCTGTGGATCTTTAGTTTATTTGTTCCGCCTTAGGCTGTGTTTAGTTCTTGAAAAAAGTTAAAAGTTTGGAGAAAATTAAAAGTTTACATGTGTAGGAAAGTTTTGGATGTAATGTGATGTGATGAAAAGTTGAAAGTTTGGAGTAGTTAGGGGTAAATTAAACACGACCTTAGTAGAATTTAGAGAGTGATAATTTAGGATGCGCACAAATCCATGCTTACTCACCGCACTCCATTGGATCATAAATATTTCTACCTGTTTAAACCAAGATTGGATCAAAATTTTAAAATTTAGAAATAATTTTATATTAAAATAAATTTATAAAGAATGGGATAGTCCATTTCAAGGAAAATCTACATATATTGTTTTCTAACTAACCGTTTGAGAAATTAATGATGATTGAAATTTTAAATATTTGTTTAAATATTATACTAACTATCAAATATTTTAACTGGATGAAGTAACAATTTTTTAATTACTCTCTCCTTTCATAAATATAAGATACTTTATCACTATTGGTGAAAAATAAGGTAACAACGAAAAAGTACAACTGAGATTTTATATTTTTGGCACATTTACAGGTAAGGGTAAAAAAGAGAGGCACATTGAAGGATTGAGTGCACAATCGAGGTGATGTTTGTTGCGCATTCTTTTCTTGTCGGGATCTTAAATTCCTTTATATTTGTTTATGGATAAATGAAAGAATCAAGATCACTCTGTTATATTTATTGTCCGAGGGAGTAATTT